TGGGATCCCTTTTTATTGCAGTTAGAGGAATTATGCGGGAAAAGTAGAGAGAAAAATGAGCGCACTACAAAGAGAATATCAAAAACTGTTCAAACTGACACAGTATTTCATGCGCTGAATATATTTGAAGGCACATGAACTCGGTTTGGTGATTAATGCAGTAAATATTTTAAGCACAGCTAAGCCATGGGAAAGGTAAAGTGTGGACTAAACAATGAAGCTGTCGGACAAGACTTTATTTGCCTTGCGGTCGACCGGAGGATTATGATCCGAGCATTCTGAATAAAATTCTCTAAGCATGATGACGCTGGACAGCGCAATTTCCTAGTGAAAAAACGCTCTAGTTCGTTGTACGCTTTGTTCGCGAAATCACTAGATCATCAAACTGTAATTATAAACCCTATTTTGTACTGCTGAAGACAGGCCATAAGTAGCCTGCTTTCCGGGTCTTCTGCCTGGAGGAACTTTTGGAGCTAGTCACAATCACTGATGAAGTGATTTGCAAAAATTATCTAAGTTCGACTTTGGGCCGACCAGGGTGACGCGACCGCCGGTCTGAAAGTCGCATCATTAGCAAAACGCAAAAGGATACCATAACCTGATCAATTTAGCTAACCTCCCAGCACGAGAGTTCGACGGTTTTGGTCGCTCTATGGCGCGGAACAAAGCGCAAGTGTCGAGTCTTTCAAAACTACCGCGTCTAAAAGTCGACAAAAGTTTGTGATGTAGAGCACGCAACTACTCCAAATTATTCAGACAAACTGATGTTTTGGGCCCCGATTACTAGTTCACCTTTCGCGTACATTATGTGTTACCTTTCGGTGGAGAATCTGCAGTTCACCATGGACGGAAACATACTGGAGGTATACAGGAATCAGTGTCAAGAGCAACAGCGCAAAGACGCCTTATTACTCTGCTCAGACGCACCGCAGTGAACTGGAAAACAAGGTTGCTTTACAAGGCAATAGCCTGCCCGTGGAACTTAAACAGCAGGTGCATGCGCAAACAACACAAGAGACTAGGTCGTACCAGGTGCGAAATGCTGCGTATAATCCAGTTTGCGTTAAAGATGTCTGAAAAGGCGCATACACACAGCAGGAAGCCCGCCGGCCCCAAGCAATGGAATATCTGGAGTCATTTATCGTGTCTGGTGCAGTTGCTAGCAAAGCAATTACGTCGGGCAAACTGAAAAATTACTCCGCGCGCAAATATCTGAACACACGTCAACGATGATGAGGAATGACGCTAGCTGTGACGTTTCGGCTTATTCATCGCCACTCCACCGCACATTCTAGTACGACAAGGCCGACATTCCCGCAAGAGGTGTTAACCACGTGAGCCACGAGCTACTCGACCCATAATTCCCGGCCTGCCGTCAATTATCAAGCACAGTATTCATTCGCCTCATTACTCCGTGTCGATACTTGGCCGGAGCTATAAGTTCAAATGACATCGAACCGCATCGTAAAGTAGTCAACATTTCAAGAATCAACAGCGGAGATAAACTTGCAGCAATTAAAGACTAAAGTGGTGACTGACGAGCAATCATCGCAAAAATACGATCCCCAGCGATAAACGTAGAAGCCGCTAATTATTGTCTGTATGTAGTTGTGCGGCAACTGATTTCTATAAATACTTCATTCAGGTGTATCCATAGGCCTTATTTACCACTTTGAAACTGAAACTTTAGATTAGTTAATGTTAATAGTAGTTGTTTATTAAAGACCCGTCAGGGTCCCATCAAAGTCAGTAAAAAATTTACATGCAAATTTTAGACGAGGTAGGCAAAATCTGTACAAAGTGCAATTCATAGTTTTGAATTAGTTGTCCGTTAAGAAAAATGATTAGCGAGGGGAAAAAAACTCCATACGAAAATTTAAAAATGCCTGAACTGATTTTGCAGGAGATAAAAACCCCCGATAAAAAAGCACTAATAGAAAAATGCGGCAGTCTGGCCTGCATTTGGCGGTATATAATGGATTATAATCGGAAATCGTCAGGGCAGAAATAAATGTCAGCTGTATATGGCATTGTATAACGGATTTCATGAAGGGGTAAGTAGGCGGGTCAGTCAGAACTGGCCTCTATGTGGCGTTGAATAAGGCCAATAAGTGCTGAAATTGAAAATCATTCTCGAGGCGATAGAAACCCAGAGGCGGTCGGTTACATTCATCCGAGTCCATCTGAGGATGGGGCAAGGGAGATGCGACTAGACTACTAGTATTTGGCACAGAAGGCTTGCCAAGAGCGTCGATGAAGCGCATTCTATGAGGGCACGATGCATGAACTGGAAAATTGGAAAAATTAAGATAAAGTTATTGTTCCATCCATCGGGTCTTCTTCTTCTCAAAGTTTAAGGTTCCATTTTATCCCCTCACCTCTCCTCCTTCCACAGTGACGATCACAGATTCTCAAGCGACTTTCTGTTTTTTAGTATGCCGACGATGTGGCTGTACGCCGCTTTCTCTAAAATCAGACACATCTTCAGTTTTTAAAGGAAGGCCTTGACCATGTCTCAGTATGGTCGCAGGAAAATGGTCTCCTACTGAATAATCAGAGATCAGTCCAGTGGGTTTTTTGACTGCAACCCTCTCCTAGTCCTGAATCCCTGGACATCCTTCCCTATGAGTTTTCTCTCTCGGAACCTTGTTGCTGGTTTTTCATCAAATCTTTCATTTTCCCTCCATATCGGGACCCTTTTCACTAAAGTGCGGCAATTTCTTTAAGGCATTCGGCGTTTACGTTCCTAGCACATTCACCCCAAACCTTAATCTGGCAGTCTGTGGATGTCTGCATTCGTCTTCCTATTCTGTATTGCTTTCTTGTCATTTTTCCTGCTTGGCTGACAAAAGATATGTCCATTTTAAAACGGGTTCTCTGAACGCTCTCTTATGCTGTTGGCTTTTCTTATGTCTTTTGGTCGACATTACTATAGTACGACATTTAAAAACGGTTAATCAATTTTCAGGTAGAATTCTGCATGACATTGTCTATCTCCATCATTTTGAACCAGTTGCTGCAAAGTCCTGTTGTTCCGTACGTCTTGGCTTTCGAAATATCTGGTGCCGTACATTGGCAAATCAGCACTCTGAGTTTCCAGTCCCAGCACGCTATCTTACGCGTGAAGAGACGGAAATACAGAAAATGAGACTAGGACTGCCACCGTAGTAGTTGTTTCTGTCTACGTAAACGTTTTTGACCTTTCAGTAGTTTTCTAACTTATATTCTGTTCACAAAAAATGAAACCTCTTCCGGCTCAAAACAAAGAGTTTACCTCTGTTTCTCTCTCTCCTCCACACGCAGACCCGCATAAACTGCCGTTGCCCTAATTACCGTGCCACAATATTGGGAGTGCCTGGTGGTATCAATTTCGTTTGTTTCAGTTCCGCAGAATGAGGGCCAAACAGTCAGAAGAGGATATGGTACATCACCTCTAACGGAGAATGGCCACTTATGACACGAACACACTGCCATCGTCTCACCGGCGACCCATGGCCAAAATGTGTAGTCCCCAATACCTGCCTGATTGTTATTTTTGTCCCACGCTAGAAATGTACGCCCAATAACTAGGGCTTTTGAATGCTTACCGCAAAAATTAGTTTTATTCTCTTTTGAAAATGGCTCAACGTCTTTGCCGAGCAATGCACAAAAGCAGAGGATAAAAGTAATCCGAAAGGCAACCACAGTCTCTGTCACACTGGTATCTGTAAGTGTCCTGACGACTGCAACTGGCCTGTCAGTTTTCCTGCTGACACTATGGCGGTTATGGCAAACACCAGTTTTTTGTCAGCAAAAGATAAAACCTGTCGACGGGGACTGGTAGGCCATTGAAGGACAAAAAATGACCATGCGCAGGCCTAAATCGGATTGCTGTGTAATCGATCCGACCGATATCTCTGTGTTACCTGAAATACCATCTTGTCTAGTCAGCGTGGTCAAAAAGGTTGTCATGAAGAGTACTTTGGATTCAGTGGGGGGAGGATCGACAGCCAAGTCACAGTGGATCTTTCCCAGTGCGTACTTTATGGCATTCTAATTCGTGTGAGCCCACATAAGCCCTTATTGTGGCCCGGTGCGCACAATGCGAACCAGCTCTTGTGGGTGACACGCGTCCACAGGCTGTTTGTCTTTGTCAGCCCTTCTCCTCACATCCACCTCCAGTTCGTCCGACATTGTCTTGCCATGGGTGTAAGATGGGCGAAAGAAAAGGGGGGTGCGGTCGGCCTGGGAGTTTGTGATGCTGTATTTTGATCCATCGGCAAGGTGTTTCACATGCCTGTATAGCCATTTGGCTAGACTGTAAGCGGGCGATTCGATGAGTGGCCCCATTATCCTCAATGGTGAAGAAGAGAGATTGAGATCTCTGAAGACTGATGACAGTATTGTGGTTGCACCTGCTGACAAAGTTGGCGCAACGGTCCTCATGGACAAGGCTGACTACGTGCAGAAAGCGAACGAAGTCTTTAATGACAGGGAAGCCTACGCACCACTCGCTGAGGACCCAACGACAACGCGGTACGCAGGTATAAAAAAGAAGGTAAATGATCTCGCTCGACTAAAGCTGATTACTCCTAGTGACTCCAGCTTCATGACTCTCAGCGACCCCGTATTGCACATGCTTATGGCCTTCCAAAAATGACAAACCAGATACACCATTGAGGATAATAGTGCCACTAATCGGATCGCCCACTCATAGCCTAGCCAAATGGCATCTAAAGCACTTCGTCGATGGATCAAAACGCAGCATCACAAAATCTCAGGCATTCCTTGAAAAGATCCAGGGTCTTAAAGTAAATCCTGATGGAGGCATTCTATCACTTGTTATTGTTACTTTGTTTTCTATAATATCGCATGACCTTGCCATTAAGAGCGTGGCCCGACGCCTACAAGACAATTCCATCGGCCTTCCAATACACCACGTCTTAAAAATGTTTAGGCTCCGCCTCAATAACTATTGCCAATTCGATCATAACTATTACCAACAGGTTAAGGGAACCCCAATGCTTTCGCCAATTTCGAAGCTACTCGCAGAAATAGTCTTACAACGATCAGAACAAGAGGTTATACAAAGTTTCCAACCAAAAACGTGGCTGAGATAAGTAGATGACACTTTTTTCACCTCCATGACCTGTGAAGTTGAGCGATTTCACCAGAGGTTGAATGGCGCCTTCCAAGCGCTGCCATTTACTTGTGAAGAACCTAAAGGAGGTACCCTCCGGTTCCTAGACGTGAGCAGAAAAAGGCTCAGTGACGGCAGCCTCGCAACAAGCGTCCACCGGAAAGGCTCTGACGCTGAGATCATCCAAAGCTATCCGCGTTACCACCCAGCAGCCCATAAAAGAAGCTGTGTTCGGACCCTTTCCAACAGGGCCTATCGTTACTGCAGTAGCGCCGATTAACTCAACAAAGAACTGCCTTATTTGTATCGGTTTTTTCGACTCAAGAGATACCCGGTAAGCTTTGTGAAAAATTGTCTCAGACGTCAGATACAACCACAAAGCATCGGCTCTAATGGACACAGGGTGTCGCGGAAATACTACTCCCTGTCCTACATGCCAGGAATTTCCGAAGCGATCGCTCGACAATTATATCAGCTCGGCATCTCTATCGTCCACAAACCGGAGTCTTCATTGCGTACGACATCACCCAGAATAAAAGACCCATACCGAAGGAGCCGCAAAAAAATATCATTTACCGCATTCCATGTGCAAACTGCTCTAACGTTTATGCTGGGCATACCCGCCGACGACTTGGGACCCTCATTAACGAACATAAGTTGGCCATCCGCCGACGCGACCTTTGTCTCTCGTGTTTGCGCACGCCCTTGAATGTGATCACCGCTTTAACTGTGAGGGGAATGAAGTGATCGCTAGTGCCAACAAGAAACAGGCGCGTGGGTTTCTTGAAGATTGGCACTCTAATAACAACAGCGTCAACCGCCATGCCGACTTGGACGCTTACTACGAAGGTATGCGTTCACGACTCACCGGCTTTCGCCCACCCTAAGACACCAGCTGCTATTCCGTGCCTGGCCATGTAGAATATAGGGAATTAAACACCTCCCACACCGAGTGAACCATAGGTAATGCCCTTAACAACTCCTCTAACTTGCGGCACCTATCCAAACACGTTCTTCACCCCCACGCATAGACGACTGTTTTGTCGATGTAACCTCTATGTTCCCCCGGCTGCCTAGTGCAATTATCTCTCCTACACTTTTCATTTCGTCTGACGACGGGTTGGTGTAGCCGAATTGAAAATTCACGAGTGTATCTCGATTTTCCGACGAGCCCTATTTTTTATTATGTGGTCCCGGAATGCAAACTACATACGTTAGACATCATCTTATCTTTGATCAGTGCCTCTTAAGTTTTTGAAGCTGCTGAAAGGATGCTTATTGGCCGAACGTCTTCAAATGCTGTAGACTTGCCGTGCTTGGTGATAGGCAGAATGTGCGATTCTTTCCACAAAATGAGACAGATTTCACTTCCGAGAGCGAGGATAAATATCTTAGACGGGGGGAACTGCAAAATCTCATTTGCGTCTGCTTTTAAAGTGCTAATCTGGACACCATCAGTTACAGCCCTGTGAGATTGACAAAAACACGAATCGCTACCGTCACGTCCCAAGGAGTGACAGTTATATTTACAATAACGTAACCGAACGAAGCCTGGATATTTGAAATTCGAGCGGTCGAATTTTTAGTAATGGTTTTGGGCAAGAAGGCACGGAAGCTATAGGCGGTCAACCTCACTTCTGCTATGGGATTTCCGAGAGCGTCTCGGAATATGGGGCGCTGCGTTCTTCCATAATCTCTTACTGTTTGAGAAAAATTAGTCGCGGCATTCTGAAGGTGATTTTCGGCAAAACTGACCTCGTAGGCTAGTTGTTTCTCTTTAGACAGTTTCTAAGCCCAGTCAAAATATGAAAAATCAAGGGAAGAACGAAAACATCGTTCTGCAGATGGGGTCGACTAGAGTCCAAAGAACCTTCACGAAAATGCTAAAGGGGAAGTAGACCTGATCCGTGACACGGATCATTCTCTTACAGGAAAAAGCGAGAAACAAAGGGGTCCAAAAGTTTGTGCGGATTATCAGTGCAAATATTCTCATTCGAATCTTCGAAGAAAGCACGATAACAGGGACGGTAGATTTATTTGCCTGAGCTTTCGAACTCGAACTGGAGTTCATCGTCAGAGACTACTTGAGTGCAGCAAATTGTGAACATTTATATCTTTATTGAAAAGGACAAGCTTTCGGGTTTTCAAGACTTACTTAACAGTATATTCCCCGACATTCAGTTTACAAGAGAAGACGAGGAGAACGAGAAACTACCCTTCCTGGACGTGCTCTTCACGCGCACACCTGGCGGTGAACTCATCACTACAGTGTACAGAAAGGCGACCAATACAACCCAGGTCCGCAACTATCATTGCAACCACCCATTGGCGCACAAACGGGGCTGTGTGAGGGCGCTTTTTGACCGGGTAAAAACGCACTGTAGCGAGCCCAAAGGAAGGATGCAAGAACTAAGGCATCTCCGGGACCAATAAACAAAGAACGGCTACCCAAATAGTTTTATCAGTTGCTGCATACGCACGCACCCACGCCGGACAAACGGAAGAGAGACACCAACAATTTAGCACTCCCTACCGTACATAAAGAATGTGTCCGAGGCCACAGAACGCATTGCGTCAGAGCTAGGCGTGGGCATCGCTCATCATCCGGCGGCCACCATGCGCAGCAGGATCATGAAAATGAAGAATCGGCTGGACGCAGGTGAACAGTCGGGCGTAGTCTACCAAATCCCATGCCAAAACTGTCCTTGCCACTACACAGGCCAGACAGGACGACGTCTCAGCTCACGAATACTTTAGCACAAACGGGCCGTTCGGAGAGGCGACCCACTATCTCAAGTAGCCACTCACACGCTGGAAGAAAGCCATGAGTTTGGCTTCGCCAACACGTGGATATTGGCGCGGGCCGGCAACAAGAGATGGCGAGAGCTGTTGGAGGCGTAAGTGTCGGACACCAACTCTATCAACAGACGCATCGACTCGCCTGCGTGTTATCACGCGCTCCGTCCACGCAGCCAAGTGGCGCAGCTCACACCGTCGCGAAGTACAAACGGCGTCACCACGCGGGGGGGACCATCGTGGCACAAACCCTACCTAGCCACGGACGTACTACCCCCTTCCCCCCCCCCTCAAGGACGAGCGATATAAATGTTCACAATTTGCTGCAATCAAGAGGTCTCTGAGCATGAACTCCAGTTCGAGTTCGAAAGCTCAGGCAAAAAAATCTACTGTCCCTGTTATCGTGCCTTTATCTTCCGCGAAAATTGTCTCTATGGAGAAGGAGTGATAGCAGTGGATTAGGAAACCTAATTAAAACTGCGGTTCCTAGTGATATATGTGAGGGTTAATAGTTGATATTAAAAATAATAAACAATATTATTATTATTTTATTTATTAACGGTTTACTGGCATTGTCTGTTAATCGTTAGACAAAAATCCGGCCAGCATTCAAAAAAACCTCCTGTCGAAAATTAATATAATTGACGTTGATGCCGATTTTTAGGGTTTGGATTGTTCAGGAGAAAAAACTGCCGACGGCAAACTTTCGGCCGTCAAGAAGGGAGCGGTTGCACGGTATCGGAGATTATCGGTCGCCAATACCTTTCATGATGTTGGGACAAGTCCAAACAGAAGCGCCAAAGAACAGGTGCGCTGTTGGCCAAAGAAATTGTCCCTGATGAGACCTGCCACAGTGGTCAGAGACCACAAACGCCATCGCTACGGTAGAGTCGGTCAGTGGATTCAGCACCGAAAATGTGTGGGAGATTTCCTGAATACAAAAATCGAGTAATAGTTCTCTTAAATAAAGGAAAATTTTGCAGAGTTTTCACACTCATGGGTAGTTTATTCCAAATAGC